TAATTTTTTTTCTTCGAAAATCAGTCTAGTATATTCTTTTCTGAATCAAATATTCTTAATGAAGTATTTTTAAAACTGTTTGATTATATATGTGCGATTAAATAAAACACACAATATAAATGAAAGAGCAGTTGACTGTCTGTACAAAAAAAAGATATACATGTACATAAATATATGCAAATTGCGCAATGCACTTAAAACAGAAACGTCCACTAAAGTGTGAGGATTGACAATGACAAGAGAGATAACTGTTTGATTGCATAAAAAAATGCTCATCTCTTGTGGATTGTCTTTAATAACACACATTTATTATGTCAATGAGTATTTGTTATATTAGATCCCTGTGTCCTTTCTGACATATTTCATTTTTCCAAATAAAATTTGCAACATGACTATTAAATTTTATTTGGTAAAATGAAATATGTTAGAAAGGACAATACCTTAAAATATACTTTTATTACACAACATTCGTATCTTTCGAGAAATATTTGAAATCCATTTGGGTCAACATCTTAAACATGATTTATTTTAAATGCCGATATTTGTTCTGAGCAGTATCACTCCTTCTAATGTGTTCGGAACCTTTTATTCTTCGGCATTCTGCAAATTATTATACCGAGCAGTTCGCAGTACATGTAGCTTTGGTGAGATCTAGCGAGACTCTTCATGGATAGTGTAATTAAATTTATTCACGGAAGTGAGGCTAGGAAGTAACTAGCTGGAGATATGGTAACAGAAAAGTTATGTTACGTTTAAGTTTTCAACACTGTATAATATCAGTGAAAATGTACATTAATCGGTCTAGAATTCATTCAAATTTCTTCAATAAGTATTCTTTATGGCATTATTTTCTACAATTTTGTATTAAAATTTCTTTTTGGACAAACATGTTTGCATAGAAACTACATTTTCTAGCGTCAGACTAAATTTACATGCTAAAAGGGAAACCAGTCTTGACTTAAAATGAATGATTAATGGGAATTTTTTTTTCTGCTATAGGAGAAAAAATCCCACAGGACAATTTTTCTCCCACAGGATAATGGTGAGATATTGGTTAGGAGAGAAAATCCCACCATTATCCCATGGGATTTCCTGATTGCAGGTGTAATATCTTTTAAACTAGAAGATATTCAGGTGTAAAGGATGGTCCATGTCATATGATTTTAAAAATCCCACCAAATGACATATATGGTGTCCATGTATCTTTGGAAAAGTGGTTGGCGAAAGTCCGGACAAATGTCGTGTCCGGAGTTAAATGTCGCACTGTTTTGGGTTACTACAAACACTACAGAAATTTTACGTTTGGAAAAGATAAAGTCTACTCGCAGTTGGAAAAACACATTGATAATTTTTTAAATGCATCTTACAAATGAAAAAGAATATAATCCTTGTTATCTATTATTTCCATGCTCACAATTACAAACAATTCATTTAAGAAATAAACGTAGAACTCTAGGTTTCTCGAAACCATATTTAGCTCATTTAAATATGTCTAAGAGATGCTGTTCCTTCTTCTTATCCTTACAGCGCTGGTGTTCTTTGCAAAAAACATTCAGAACGTGGCACAGAGTATCTTTTATAATGTACATTATTATACTTTCATGTTAAACTCTAAAATCTGATTGGTTTAGACGCATTTAATGTTACCCTCAGCCTTAGCAACACACTTGACAACGGTTAACACAACGATGTAAATTATGCGCGTACGGTTCGCCGTAGAATTTTTAAAAAGGTCAATTGTGCCTCTGAACTTGATGTCAATCAAAGCTTGCGTCCGATGTAGCTATTAAAATTGAAAACAACAAACCACCGACGAAAAACGCTTGCGAGTGCAGAAATAATGAAAGTTTAGATGATTATAAGGACTCTCTGAGTATCAAATAAACAATAAAGAGGTCGGTAATTCTTTTTCGAAGCTTTCTTATTGAGAAAAACAGAAGCGGGGAGTTTGAAAGCTTTCTAAACGTGATCTTGATGACGATCCACGAATTTTGTTGATGACATCCTATATCAATAGACATTCAGTATAATAAAATAAATAGCGCACACTTTTGAGGGTACATGTAACAGTATACAGTTAAAGTATATCATTGAGGGAGTTAGCAAGATTCCAGTTCCCCAAGACCAGGACTACTTCCCGAGGCGAAGCCGAGGGAAATAGTCCTGGTCGAGGGGGAACTGGAATCTTGCTAACTCCCGCAATGATATACTTCTAAATGTTTTATTATACCGATACAAACGTAAAATTTAGAGGATTCAGATAGCGTGATTTCAAAGCAGGGATTAGCTCACTGAACTAACACACGGGGATTAGTCCATTCACGTATCATACCAATATAAAAGAAAAATCTAGAGGATTACGGATAACCGGGAATTAGCTTTCGAAGCAGGGATTAGCTCACCTGACTAACGCACGGGGATTAGTCCATTCATAACGATAACGATTTCTAGGGAATAACGATTTCATAACGATTTCTAGGGAATAAGTCACATCTAACGATCTAATGTTATATAGGGAAAAATCAGTAGAGGTATAATAATTGATATTGACACCCCTTGGAAAACCATTGTCAACCTTCGCTGACGCGTTGGTTGACAATGGTTTTTCTTTGGGGTGTCAATTTCAACTGTTACCCTCAAAACATGCACTATTTATATACTGTAAAACTTTAAATTTATAGTGAACAATACATGTAAGTAACAACAAATAACAAACGCACCAACATCAATTTATATTATGAGATGACATGTACCGTACTGTAGATAATTTATCGTAGAAGACAATAGTTATATAAACAGATGACCAGTGCATTTTCTCTGAAAGTGTAAATGTCTATGATTCTGAGAAGGGGGTAATCCATGTTATTTGGAGATAGACAACTTGTGTTATTATTATTATAATATGGGTTAAACAAACCATTACAGAAACAAATGTGTGTGCTAGAGACAATTTTTTCATACTACACGTATTTAATAGAAACAGATTATAGCAATTTCTTGTTTACTGCCATTTTTATTTATGAAACCACTTCTTCCCCATAACCCTTGAAAGGGTTAACCAAGATCACATGCCTTGAATTAAATCACAATAACATTTATAGTGTAGTGGTTAGCGTGTTAGCCTCGAAGGGAAAATTGACACGCAGGATGGTTCGAACCCCAAGAATACCACATTTTATTTAAAAAATCATAAAATGATCTTTGCCAAAATAATTTTCCGCAGAAAGCTTTTGTTTGCCAAGATATTTCATATCTTTTAATGATAAGAACTTAACTATAAATGCTAAATTCACAAATTGAATACCGGTATAGCTTTTATACATTCGAAACTATGGAAATTTTGCACGCCTTGTTCGTCCATCTTCTTAAAACCACAAAACACAATAATTCATAATGTTTTGGAAACATCAGGTTGTAATGAAATTCTGCAATATTTATAGTCAAATACTTCCTGGTTAAAAAAATTAAATTGTTTAAACTTTGCTTTACAATTCCCTGTTAATTCCCTATTAAGAAACATGTAGTAAGACTAGCTTAAAATATATTAAGAAGATAAAAGTATAAAGATAAAAGTACAAATAAAAAGTATTTAAAGAACGTTTTGCTTCATGAGAAAAACACTGTTAGCAAATGAGGGTAAACAGAAACATTGTACTCATAATTTTTTATTTATTCATATTTGATAATTCTAATATATTTGTTGCACTCCTTACCAAGAGCATGTGAGACTTAAAAATAAAACTGAGAAGCATAAATAATATCAGAATATGTTCTTTTGTTTCAGTAAAGTCGTGATGGAATTATCTGAATTTTTTATCATATTTTATTTCCAATTTTTTTTTTTTGGTTATTTTTTTTTTTGTTTTTTTTTTTGTTTTTTTTTTTTCCAATTAAATAAAAATTAAACGAAAAGATTTCTATTATGCCTAAACTATTTTTCATAGGCGACAGACAGTCCATCGTAAATTGGATCTTTTAATTTATTGTCGAAAAATCTTAGCTGTCGTGAATATATTGATGGTTTATAAGCAATGCTAATGAAAACTTGGGTTCTTGAAAAAAAGAAACTGAAGTTTAAAATTGGTAGGAATAACCTTTTACAACTGCAAACTACCTTTATAGACCTTCACTTAAATATGCTTCAATTATTTGGAATGGCTGCTTTAATTAGGATGCTGAAAAATTATCTGCAGCTAGAATTGTCACAGGTCTTCCTGTTTTGTGTCTAAAGAAACAGTTTATTCTTTAACTCATCGTTAAAATATATTCGCTACATCGCAAAAATGACTACCACATTCAAAATTCACTTTGTGGGTGACTATTTGAGTGATATCGTCCCAACGTGAAACTTGTCAAAATATAATACACTTATCTCGAAAGAATAAGCAATTCAGAATGGCAGTATCTGTCATGGCTTTATTCTTGTTTAACATTATAAGGTAATTACATAATCAAACAATGGTATCAAAACAATGGACAATAATCAAGTATTATAGCAAGTGTCAATGAGTAAGCGCCGATCCTCAATCTGGCATTTGGCGCATACAGTTTGCAGAAATGGGGAGCCATATGGTGCTGACAACCCTGGAGGGTAAACAGAAGTTGCCAGCGATGGCTTGTTGCAAAATTCTGCAGTGCGCAGGCATGGATTGCAGGCTGGAAGGGTCACTAAAGCCATGACGATGGTCGATGTGGCACTGGAATCATAAAATGATAACAGCAGAAACACAGAAAAAGAAATACTACTATATGTATGTACATGTATAAAACTTATCTGACTAATGTGATGTATATGTATCTAAATGTGTTAAATGATAGGTGGGGATCTATGTAATGTTGATGTAGCCTAATATAACAACTAAGATGGTGGGGGTGGGTGGGTGTTCAAAATTGATGAAGCGGAAAGGATGTGCGCGCAAGCGCATTTAATGACCTGGGGATATTTGGGAAATTTGGTTGAAGCCGGGAGAGTTATTGCTCTTAGGCTATTCTTCTTCGATAACTGGCACTTACTGCACATAGCAGTAAATGCAATTATCTCGAAAGAATAAGCAATTCAGAATGGCAGTATCTGTCATGGCTTTATTCTTGTTTAACATTATAAGGTAATTACATAATCAAACAATGGTATCAAAACAATGGACAATAATCAAGTATTATAGCAAGTGTCAATGAGTAAGCGCCGATCCTCAATCTGGCATTTGGCGCATACAGTTTGCAGAAATGGGGAGCCATATGGTGCTGACAACCCTGGAGGGTAAACAGAAGTTGCCAGCGATGGCTTGTTGCAAAATTCTGCCAAGTGGATTGCTGTACGCGAATTTCGAGACAGCAATCCATCCGCCAACAAGTGGCGGAAAATTTGGCAAACAAGACATCATGTCTAATGCAACACAATAATTAGCAAAACAATTCAATGCAATATACAGGGTAACAACAATGTGTAATTTGGCAAAACAATTCAATACAACATACCAATATATCATCAAGCATGAACTGAGGGGGAAAATGGGGAGGGGGGGTTGTTGGGGAAAATGAGGAATGCAATGCACATGTGTCTACTATCAGAAATTGGGGGGGGGGATGGCATAATGGGGCCATTTGCAAGCCATGAACAGATACTGCGTTAAGGGAGGATAGGGAAAACTTTTTGACTTGAAGTGAGAAACTTGGACAATGCCGTTTGAATTGTAGTTGTGAAAATAGAATTCCCAAGATCTGATAGATGTACGCAATCGAGGAATAATTTGGGCTGATCTATTTTAATATCAGGATGACGTATGAGGGCCCCATTTAACTTCTGAACAACAAAGCAGCCAATAGAATTATTTATTCTTTTTCTAGATTTCTCTGCAGCTTCGCTGGAAATCATGTAACGCCAGTATTTGCGAGGGAGTATATTTGACCATACTAGAAGTGTGTTTGGTAATTTTTTATGAAGGGAGGCTAATAATGCCTTCATGGCTAGTTGTAGTTTTTTAAGGGGCTGAAGGCCAATACTGTTACCGCCACAGTGAACTATTAGCATTTGAGGCATGATATCATTATGACGATTTATCAATCTGGCAATGTGTTGATCAAGTTGCTCCCATTTTAGTCCCCCAGATCCAGACCAGGTAACATCTATCTTTAAGTGCTCCAGAGACAAGTTTTGGCCAATTGTTGAACGTATGCAGTAATCTTCGGCTCGTCTGATAATGGAAGATCCAACGATCCATACCTTGCAGCAAGTCCCTGCAAACTTAGCTTACAGTTAGTAAGACTGACTATTTACAGGACTACAGCATTCGGGCGAACATAGGACTTGAAAGCATTGGATTTCCATCTACCCATTGTTTTAATTTCTTGCTCTGGAGTACCTTGCATATACAATGAAGTTGCCGCCCCTATGCGAAATGAATGGGATTTGAATGTTGATGTGTCAAGCTTGAGGAATGATAGAACTTTCTTTAGTACTTGATTGAATTGATAGTATGTCATGGGCGAGCCATCCATGTGACATAAAAACTGAGATGTTTGAGTTTGTGATGGTCTATGGGTCATGTAAGCTTGTATGTTGTGAAATAGGACCTGATTTTGCTTTGTGCTGTTAATTTGCATTGTTGTGCCCTTGCCATGCTGATCTGTTTTGGTTTTCCCTAATGTGATCAGTATGGATGATTGTGATATGGATACGTTTTGTATTGACAATGGGGAACTGGGGGGGTTTGCCTTAGTGGAAGTTATCTCCCCGACTCTAAGTAAAGCAAAGAATGCAAGGCCATAAGCAGAGGAGAAGAGTAATTTCTCGTAATAATTTCGGCATACGTGTTGCAAGGAATCTATTATCTTAACTAATAGGGGAAATGTTATCGGGCTTCTTGAATCTTTTCTATGTTTGAGTTGTTTAAAGCCATGGAGCATTTTCTTGACTATGAAAAATTGACATGGGTCTGGGAAGTTACCTAGTTTTATGGTGAAGCTTAAGCCTGCTAGGTACGTTTTGGCTGTAGTGTATGTTGTCCCCTTTGATGATAGGTAAGCGATATAGTTTATTAATTGGTCTATGGGAGGGGGCCACAATTCCTTCAAGTTAAAAAGTTTTCTAAATTGTGAAAAAGAGTCGAGACCTTTCTGGTATATTTCTTGAGTGTTATGGGAGACTGATGCTCTGAGTAGCTGTTCTACTTCCTGCTCAAATGGTTCCAGAATTCCGGAGGAACTTGGCAGGGATAGTAGTCTGTGTGGGGGGCCAGCTTCCTGAACTTTAGCCACTGAAAACGAGATATGGCATCAGCAATAGAATTGGAATGACCTGGTATGTGTTCGCAGCGCACTTGGATATTGTATTTTAATATTTTGTAAAGAAAGGGTCTGAGAAGTGACATAACTCTTGGTGACTTTGATGTTTTTTGGTTGATTATCTCTACAACTGCCATGTTATCGATATGCAAAATTATTTTTCTGCCTTGGAGTTTGTGGCCCCATATGTAAATTGCAAGAGCGACTGGGACTAACTCCAGATAGGTTAGATCTCTACAATCCTGATGTGACCATTCTGAGGGCCATTGTAGGTAGGACCATTGTGAACCAAATATGACCCCACATCCAAGTGAGCCGGAGCTGTCAGAGGATATGTGGATAGTGTCCTTATCTGACCAACGCATATCTGGGAATACAGTAGTGCCATTGAAGTCGGACAAAAACTCGAGCCATATAGCTACATCTTCACGAAGTGCCCTTGATATAGTGATATAATGATATTTTTTGTGTCCCTGTGATAGGCTATCATAGAATCGTCTACAAAAGGCTCTCCCGGCAGGTATTGCCTTGGAAATAAATGCCAGGGATCCGACTAATGATTGCATTTCTTTTAGTGTAATTTTGCGACGCGAGGCAACATTCTGAAGTTGGGCTTTAAGGGCGTCAAGTTTATCTTTAGGGACAAAGATGGTTTGGTTGCTGGTATTGATCCCTAACCCTAGAAACGTTAAACATGTTGTAGGACCTTCGGTTTTTTCCTCTGACAAAGGAACGCCGAGTGTTTCGCAAATTATGTCAAACGTTTGCATGAGGTTTTTGCACACAAGGGTGTTTGCAGGGCCTGCAAAAAGGAAATCATCAAGGTAGTGGACTAATGTGTCAATTTTGGCTCGATCTTGTACGATCCAATGGAGGGCTGTTGCAAATTTTTCAAATGTGGCACAAGCTATAGAACATCCAAATGGGAGGCATTTATCGAAATAATAATTTTTAAAATGAAAGCCAAGCAGGGAAAAGTCTTCTGGGCGAATAGGAAGGAGTCTGAATGCACTAGAAATGTCTTTTTTGCCTAGTAGGGCACCCTGGCCCAGTTCTTTTATCATTCTTACTGTCGAGTCAAATGATGTATAATGAACAGTGCATAGATCTGGGTCAATAAAATCATTAACGCTATTTCCCCCAGGTGCAGATAAGTTACAAATCATACGCCAACCCCCCTGCTTTTTGGGAACAATACCTATTGGGCTGCACTTGATATTTGACATGGGAATATTTTTGAAGGGCCCAGCTATTCTGCCTAATTTTACCTCTTGATCGATTTTTTTTTGAAGCTGATGTGGATTTGTCTGCGCAGATTTCATGTTTTTAGATTTTTGAAATTCCCGAATACCCGAATAGTGAATGTTGAAACCAGCTTGAAAACCATTGATCAATTCATGAGCTATGTGTTGTAATGGGTAACTTTTAAGCATTGATTTTAAGATGTTAACGTTGACTGGTGTTGGAGCCAAGTCCCAGAGGCCTTGGGTGGTTTGGAGGGAGCCCTCTACCCTGAAATCTGCTTGGGGGCTGGCGGGTTTGTTCTGCTTGGGACAGTCGAGAGCTCTCTGTGCGAAATGGCTGATTGTTGTGCCAGCGGCAGTTTATGAGTGGGTGACTATTGGAGCATTTTATGCATGCATGTTGATAAGTGCAGTATGGTCGGCCGCATGTACCTTTGTAATTGAAGTCAAAGCATTTGGGTGATTTAGATGTATGATTAGGTGCTTGCTGGGATAGGGTGGTTTGGCCATGGGTCACATACAAAAGCCACAATTCTGCATCGACAGACCCCCAGTCCAGTGTGTGGTTTCTAGATCGCTTTAACCTGAACTGTACGTCGTAATTGAGCCAGTTTAAGTTTGTTGATCGCTGCGCAGCAGTGCGTATGATGTTAATGTATTTAAGTATTGACTGAATGTGTTCTGGGAACTTAGTTAGGTATATGCTTGTAAATATTAGGAATGCGTTTGTCCATGTTTCTATTGATGTTATTTTGATTTCCTTATGTTTGGGTTTCAAGACTAGTTCACCATTAACAAATGCCAGCTGTTGCTGGGGCTCGTCATTTGGTTTGAGGGGGAGCAATTTGTGCAGGTGAATGAATGCATTATCAAAGATATTTTGCCTCAAGCTATCCGAGACATGCACGCCCAAAGCGTCTGAAACGCTGTTTAAAGCATTTGGTGTATTTGTATAAAAATTGATATTAGTACATGATGCTGATGTACCTGCAGAGAATACTGAGGGGTCAGATGCTGCCATTATTGATGTAGCTGGTGCTGTCATCTCCGGAGTTTGGGTTGATAGAGCTGGTGCTGTCAAAGCTGACGTTTGGGCCGATGGAGCTGGTGCTGTCAACACTGGAGTTTGGGTTGATGGAGCTGGTGCTGTCGACGCTGGAGTGTGGTTTTCCTGGATGTCATGCTGAGTTGACACAACTGGTACTGTGGGTGCGGGTGTGACCTGGATCCGTCTCGTCGTAGTATTAGATATTTTCGCCTTTTTGGCGGCAGCTTGGGCGCGTCCGGGTCTAGCGTATGGTGATTTGGAGACTCTTTTTGTACGGAGCATTTTTCTGCAAAACAAACGACTGTGTAATTTCGTGTTTACCATTGTACGTTTTTTTTTTTTTTTTTTTTTTTATTATTATTATTATTATTATTTTAAATTAGTTGCTTGAGTCTGTGACTGATTATATGCCAATATTATCGTAAACTGAGCAGGAAAAAACAAAATAAGTTTAAACCGATTTCTTTGTTATAGTTGAAATGGCGCCATTAATAGATGGTGATCTTGAATTGAGCCAGCTAAATCCGCTGGCATCTGAAGATGCTGAGGCGAAGGAAACGCCCAATTCGCTTCCAATGCCTCACCGGGTGTTTAATACATACCGATGTCCTGAGGAGCGATACTTATACAATACAATAATCCTCTTGATTGAGATAGGGCTGGAAGCTGATTTCTTGGCGATGTTCTCTGTTCAAAATTGATGAAGCGGAAAGGATGTGCGCGCAAGCGCATTTAATGACCTGGGGATATTTGGGAAATTTGGTTGAAGCCGGGAGAGTTATTGCTCTTAGGCTATTCTTCTTCGATAACTGGCACTTACTGCACATAGCAGTAAATGCAATTAATAAAGAACAATTCACTGTCCGAAGATGCAGAGTAGAATTTCAGATTCTGTGAAACAATCTAGGGTATAAGACCTTGATTACAAGAATAAACAAGATGTGTTTGTGAAACACTGATGTCCCCGCATAGCAGCTTATGGCGAAGATTAAGGTTTTTCAAATGCAAGTCAAACTCCAGGTCAAGAAATCAAAAATGTTGGTACCCAAAGAAAGGTCTTGTCTCGAGAAATATACATGTGAAATACAAAAGCCCTAATACAAACCGTTGAAAAGTTATGGCGAAGGTTAAAGTTTTTTCAAAGTAAGTAAAACGGCAAGGTCAAGGTCAAATGGTGCCCAAGGGAAGGTCTTGTCACAAGTGATACACATGATTGTGAAATGTAAAACCCTAGAACCAAACGTTCAAATGTTATGGCCAATGTTCAATTTTTTTAAATTAGGTCAAACTCCAAGATAAAGGTCAATGCCAAAATTGTTGGTATCCAAAGGAAGGTCTTGTCACAAGGAATATACATGTGAAGTATGAAAGCCCTAACATCATTTGTTCAAAAGTAATGGCCAAGGTTAAAGTTTTTCAAAAGTAGGTCAAACTCAAAGGTCAAGGTCAAAGTTGTTGGTATCGAAAGAAAGGTCTTCTCACAAGGAATGCATGTGTGAAGAATGAAAACCCCAGCAGTAACTGTTCAAAAGTTATGGCCAAGGTTAAAATTTCTCAGAATTAAAGTACAATGTAGGTCAAACGCCACGGTCAAAAGGTCAAAGTTGTTGGTATCCAAAGAAAGGTTTTTTTTTTTTTTTTTTTTTTTTGTTATTCCAGAAACATTTATAATCTGAACATATCCAAGATAAGTTGTACAATTCATATTTCAATGAAACAAACAAACGATTCATAATGCAAGATATTTTGACGATATTAAAAGAGAGACATAAAAAATATTGACATCATTTATAGATGTGAATAAACCTATCAGTAATGACGAAATGCAATTATTTCTGTCATTTTGAACATTACATTGTATAAAAAAAAGCGATTTAATTACTCGGTGAGATTTAAGAACATACACACAGTATTCGGCCTATAAATAAACTACTGTGTACAAAAGGTGTAAGGATAAATACGAGAACACACACGCAAAAAAATATGCATGGATGTTTTGACTGATTTGATTAGAAATGACATAAATAATAGATCCTTTTTTTTTTTTTTTTTTTTTTTTTGGAAAAAAGGAGATTTTATGCACATGTAATTGATTGTTTAAAATTTTTTTTTTATAACAATAGTAATATCACATACACATATTCAAACATGACCCTTGTTACAGTGGGAATTTCTAATTAAAAAAAAAGAAAATGAGTCCATCATTCCCGCTGTAACTAGTATCGAGGGCCAGGTCACCCTCCAATACGGGTCTTTTTTTATGTTATAATGCTCAACAAAAACAATACTTTAGAAAAAAAGAGGAAGAAAAACAAAAAGCAAAACAAATTTTCTGAATATATGTATAATTTTTTCACATTACATTTTACTGGGAAAAACAATGAACTTAACATTCATACTAAAATTATTTTAATCATAAAGTTTCCAATTACTATTGTGTGTGAAAAAAAATGACACAAGCAAATTAAAGTAACCTAAACAGTAACTAGTGTAGTAAGTGTGTCTGCAGATATTGACTTTTACTAGTATTAAAAATACATAGGATTTTGAAAAATATGATTCATTTTCTCCTGAAAATTCGTAAAATGATGTGATTGTAATAGGAAATTTGATTTCATTTCATTTTTAAAAGCAGTTTTAATACTTGAGTCATTTACTTTTAGATTCTCATATTTAACTTTATTTCTTGTTTTCCATATGACCCATTTATAAATATATATTAAGGTATTAACAAAAGTTCTTGGAATTTGCGGTTCCTTCAAGTACCCTAATATTATTGTTTGCTCATCAACTGATAAAAAATTCTTCAGTTGTAACACATTTTTAATTATGTCTTCTACTAACTTAAGTGTTGGTTTAACTTTTGTGCAATGAAAAAAGAGGTGTTGTTGATTTTCCCTATGGTTTTTACACAAGTTGCATAAACCATTAGAAAGTCCGATTTTACTTAATTTATCCTCAGTATACAATATATTATGCACACTTTTCCACTGGAATTCTTGAATTTTATTTTTTACTTTTACTCTTGAAATACTCTCCCAAACTAAATTCCACTGTATGTTATTTTGATATATTTTTTTTCCATTTTTCTTGACTTTTTGGAATTTTTTTCTTGTTTAATATTTTTTCTATGTTTTTTAACTTGAGATCGTCATTATTTACCACTTTATTAGCACCTCTTTGAATGAGTAAATTATTATTCAATTTATAAGGGAGTTTTGTTTCGTTGTTGGATATTAAGTTGTTTCTTTTCATTATTTGATAAAAAGATTTAGGAATAGCTGCTTTTATTTTACTATATTCAAAAATCCAGCATCTTTTGTCTAATAATTCATTAAAAATAGTGTCATTGTATTTAAAACAGTTTTTCTCATCATTCCAAATGTCTTTAATTTTTAAAAAACCACTTTTAATAAATGACTCAACGTATAGGGCTTTCCCATTAAATTGTATAAGTTTATTACCGAACAGAGAGAGATTGAGTATTTCTTCCCGACTCTCTGGCTCAAATTTTGACTGAAATTCGCTATATGCGATAAGTGCTTTTTTATAAAAACTAGACATTTTATTTAAGGAAATTTGAGATAAATCCGAACAAGTGCATAAGTAATATTCTTGATTTGGATGCATATCTTTACTCTGTAACCAGTATTTACCAATTGCATTCCATGTTTCTAACTTTGAATGCATAATTTTATAAATTGTTTTTATTTGTTTACTTTTTATAAAATTAAATATATTTGTCATATTCATTCCTCCTTCATGCTTGCTTAAGCAGCACACGTTTCTGTCTATTTTATTCAATTTATTATCCCAAATAAAAGACCAAATAATGTCGTTTATTTGTTTGGCATAAATATCTGGTATTCCTCTCATTTCTATTTCATAACCAATAATTGGAATTATCAAATTCTTTATTATCAAAGTTTTCCCTTTAAATGTAAGGTTTCTAGTTTTCCAGACATGCAAACTGTTCATAATTTTTTCTATTTTTTCCAACCATATTGCACAAGTATCGATATTATATCCATGATGTACCCCTAAAGTTTTTATGTTAGTTTTTATCCATTGAATTTTTTTAAATTTTGGTATTTTACCCTTTGATTTTCCAATAAACAACCCTTTAGTTTTTAAAAAGTTGATTTTTGCCCCTGAAGCTCTTTCATATACTTCTAAAATATTAAAGGAATTTATTATAGATTCTTCATCTTTATTAAATAGCTGTGTGTCATCGGCGAACATATTTATTTTACACTCTATATGTTGATCTTTTCCAGGAATTAAGATGCCCTTTATCTGAGGATTTTGTCTGATTGCACAAGCCATAGGCTCTATTTGAAGCACGTAAAGTAGAGGAGCTATAGGGCAACCTTGCCTTGCTGATCTTGATATTGAAAAGTATTTTGATACAAATCCATTTGTTTTAATGCAAGTTTTTGATTTTATTAGAAGCATTTTTATCCATTTACAGTATTTTTCACCAAAGTTAAATCTCTGTAATGTGGCTTCTATCCACCCCCATTCTATCCTATCAAAGGCTTTCTGTTGATCCAGAAATATTATTGCCCCCTCTAAATCTTCTTTTTCTGCATAATCGATTATGTCTTGAATTAATCTATTTGCATCACTTATATTTCTACCCTTAACAAACCCTTTTTGATCTGGGTGAATTAATTTTGGCAATACAACCTTTAACCTCTCAGAGAGTATCTTAGCAATAATTTTATAATCGTTGTTAAGCATAGTTAAAGGTCTCCAATTTTTTACATCTTCTCTTTCATTCCCTTTATGTATTAATGAAATTACTCCTTTAGTTTGCGAGTCACAGAGTATAGCCTTTTGAAAAATATATTTTATTACTTTTGAAAATTCAATTTTAATTGTATCCCAATATAATTGATAAAAAGTTGACAGTATTCCATCTTCCCCTGGTGATTTATTTGGTTTTAATGACATAACTGCTTTGTAGATCTCGTGATCAGTTATATCGCTGTCAAGCATGTTTACGTCACCCTCATCTAATTTACATTGTACTGTCTCTAATAATAAATTTCCGCTTTCTCTATCCCAACCCTCAGTATTTAGTAATTTGTAATAAAAATTTATTTGCTCTTCAATTATTGAGTCAATGTCAGTTTTATAAGTGCCATTTTCTGCTTTAATTCTAGTCCACAATTTTTTTTCTCCGTTATTTTTTTCTAATTGAAAGAAATATTTAGAAGGTGCTTCTCCTTCTCTAAACCACTTACATTTAGATCTTATAATTGCAGCTTCTGTCTTATCCGTATAAATGTCTTTGATTTTTTGTTCAAGATCGATTTGAGACTTTTTGTCATTTGAAGGACTGTTTTTAATCTTTTCTAATTCTTTTTCTAATTTTG